ATTCTTTTTGAGCTCTTATATCAAATTCTTCCACTTTATCACTTGTCTCAGCATCTCCGCATTCTTCTGTACAAGAGTATAAAGACAAATACAGGGACAGTACACTATAAGCATCTCTTCTCTCCACAGTTCCAAGAGAAAACAGCAGCCCACAGCACTCCCAAATTTTCTTAAAGAAACTGTTTCTGGAAGACAATCACGTACATTCAGCTGAAACGATATATACATACATAAAAGAGTATGCACACATATATATAAAGGAAAATATGTATACGTATTAAAAAAAAACCATATATGCATATACGAAATAATATATCTAGAATGCAGGTGAAATTAGGAAGACAAATAAAGACTAATGCAGTTGGAAGAAATTTTAGTAACTACCTTGAAAGTGTAAGGGTCTGCCCATGTATTGAGATTTCAAAAGAGCAATAAGAAGAAAATGCTTTGAAAATTATTGGGAGGAGAAAGCCAGTAGCACAGGACCGGTGTTCCAAACTTTGTAAAAGCAATCGTTCAGTCAAGCTACAAAGACCCCAAGTCAATTTACCAGCAACATTTTGAGCATCAAAACACCTATGTGGAATCATTGATTCTGAGGATGCGGCTGTTTTCATGCTATGAAGGGCAGCATCAAGGATTAAGGTTAGAATGTGGCATGAAATTTGCAGCGAAAGTGACCCAGATTGATACGGGCTGTGTTTTTCACTCATCTCCAAATGAGTTACACAGTCAATAGATCCCAGCACCCACTGAAAGATATCTGGTACCTCATTTTGAAGCATACCCATAGAACTAGCAACTACACTTAGAAAATAAGGCACCAGGGTTGCCTCCACAACTACCCAGGTTTTTGTCTCGATCACAACACTAATAAATGATTCTGTAACCTAGTACCAGAATTGCACAAAACCAACACCAGCATGCACAGCAAGCAACAGCTCGTTACAAGACGAAATTTCGTAAGGACAGCAAATTGACAACAAGAAGCTTTAAAAAGTTTACCTGGTTAAGCATTTTGCGGTCAAATATATGCGCTATCTTCATCAATGGAAGATAACTTCTCCAAATAAATGATTGCAAAGCATCATGATTAGAACCTACAGGGAAAATATATTCAACAGTATTGAATAGAATATTTAGCCCCAACAAAATACTTATACACTTCGAAATAAACAGTAAAGAGCCTCTCCCACTATATCTTAGCAAGGAGAATGACGACTGAGTAGAAATTAAATTATGATTAAGGGCTGGCAATGAAACCATAAAATAAAAATACAACATCGGGAAACAGAAAGATCAGAGCATTAAGACAACATTCTGGCACCCGCTTGCCTAATCCCCAATGAAAAAGTGCACACTTGAGGTTTAGTTGCATGCAGTTCAAGAACAAGGGGTCACTTGTGGGTTAGTTGAAATTGAACGTACTACTGGATTGAAAGTAGTTTACTCTTTGCTTGTTAATATACTTAACCAGTATCAATTAAAATAGGTTTATGTGTAGTCAGAAATTTAAGTATAATTTTTTTTTAAACCTAACTAGAAGAAACACACAGGATGAAGTTTTGTATTTCAAATATCAAACTTGGTCAAGCAAATAAGCACTTCGAAGATCCGTACTACAATTTATCAGAAGATTATATATATTTCCATTATCACACAACACGTTGGAAACCAATCAGAACATCACTGTACCAAACTCAAACTTAATTGCATCAAAAAACAATAAAATCCATTGGGGTTAGCCTAAGTGGTGAGGAAGGGTAGGGAAATGGGTTAGGATTAGGATAGGTCCAAAGATAAACAACAGTGAAAATCCAACTGACATTAAAGCCACCTTTCACAACCATTTGATATAAAACTCCAACCATTGTATAAGAAAAGAAAAATATTTCTGAGATGGAATTAGGGATATGACTTACCGAATTTCTTTAATAGATGGCAAAGTGCACTAACCAATGATGCCAGATAGTTACAGTGATTGGAATCCAACATCGCATCATGTATCTTAAGATCCTATACAAAACAAACAAACCTGACTAACCATTAGCTCAAATTCAACCACGCTATTTTCAGTAAAATAGCAAGCTGGACAATAAATAAACAACAAAGTTCAAGAAATCATTCATGATTTCATCTCATGTATTTAAACCAAAAGCCCATCTCAACTAATCCAAATTAATCATTCTAGCAACTCGGTATCACTCAAATGGCAGATATATCAGCCCATTAAACACAAAACATGCCTCTTACATATTTAACTTGGCAATTTTCAACAAGAAAGCTGGGTAGGGTATATATTTTATTGGAGTCTTGCAACTTTTTGTGGCATTTACTATGAGTTTTATTTATGAAGTGGAAAGGCTATCATCAGATTATCATTTACAAAAATGTGTGCCAAATCGAGGACTTGAGTTTCCATGAAGTCACCCAACTTGTCTAAATTTCTTATGTGCTTTCTTGGGTATTCGACATTATTTTCTTGACTATTCAAGATAGGAAAACAAAGAGTGCTCTGTATGTAACACAAACATAGTAATGCAGCATTTTTCTTACGAAAAACTCAAGCATTATGTCACTCAACTTACAAATAACCAAAACCCCACCTCAACTAAACCAAATAATCATTCTAGAAACTGGTATTTTTCACAATTCAAATGAACAGCATTCCGTTATAACCCAAAAGAGTGCCTTTATCTAACTCAATTAGCATTTCCTCCACAAGCCAACATAGCAATGCAGCATTTCACAAACTGAGTATTTGATGAAGTAAATTAATCATACCTCAGAGAGCTTGGGAAAAGTATCAAGAAGTGAGTCAAAAAGTGAGGAGGGAGATAAGCCAGAAGAAGACAAAATGCAATCCAAGACGGCTGGAACAGCGGCTTGAGGTACTTGATTGAAGCTAGTGGACAGTGAATTGATAAGAGCGGCCATAGAGCCTGTTTCTCTTGTAGACATTTCCTTCAGAAAGATTGCTCCTCTCTCTCTCTCTGAAAAGTAGTTGGTGAAGATGTACAATTGAAGTGGTTCTGATAAACCCTAGGGTTTAGAATAATTAAACCGGGAAATTTCTACACAGTATTCAGTTTTTTTTTTTTTTTTTTTTTTTTTTTTTTTTTTTTTTATGAGTTCAATTTTTTTATGAGCCTTAACTTGGTGGAGAGACGTTAGAACAAGTATTTCCACGTCCTTATTTTATTTTCACATCCATTTTATTTTCAAAATTTTAAAAATAAATTTACTCCTTTATAAAATAATTTTTAAGACACAGGAAAAAACCTCATCTTAATCCACCTATTTTACCATTTGACAAAATTATTTATAAAAAAATAAAAATAAAAAAAGGGCTTAAGGACTCCTCATCCCCAGAGTAATTTCCCTTCTTTTTTTTTAACAAGTTTTTTTTATTTCTTGGTTTTTCTAGTACTTTGTTTGAGTGACTGCCGAGTGCTCGAATTTTTTATCATTGATGATTGGTGATTGGTGATTGGGATTTTCATATTTGATCACAAATGAAGCCGTTGACTTGAGATTTTGGAGGATTGACTTTTGATTCACCCCGTACCGAGTAAATGAAATTGATTTGTGTGCATGCTCTGTCCCAAAGATGGAATTCAGATTTCCCTTTTTTTCGTCAAATCAGATTATATGCCAGGCATACTGAGTTAGTTTGATTTGCATTTTGATGCACGCTTCCATTTCCCATTTGGGCATTTTTCTGAACCTTTGACATGAGACCACTGTCATTTATGCGTACTCAGTTAACATGATTGTGGGGTCCTCGTCGTCAATTAATGGCCATTCATATAGCTTCTCTAGTGTTCCGAATGCAATAGCTAATCTTAGAATGTATGATTTACATAGTTTTATGTATAATTTTGAGGTTCGTAAACATGATGATATTCATAATCTTAGTAATTTGCATACTAGGTTGGTTCCATCATCTACGATTAGTAAAGAGAATTTGCTTGAGTTAATAATTAAAGGGTATTTTAGAAATTGTCTCTAACAGTGACTAACAAATAACAAACAACATAAGTTAGTCCTAGTTAATGTCTCAAAGAAAAAGGTTGTCTTCTAGGGTTTTCTATAGCTTTTTTCTAGGTTTTCTTGACTATGACGGCAATGCTGCAAGATCTTCTGAGGGCGTGCAGAGAGTGCTGAGCCAAGCCTGATACAACAGACTTTTCAACGACGCATGGAGGAACTAGAAAAACGTTTGGGGCTCATCTCAATCTGTTTGAAAAGGATCGAATTGGGGTTACCTTTGAGGAGGATGAAATTGATGATTTGTTGTTGGGATCTCCTTATATGATGGTTGCAAGCGTCCTCAACACGAGGATTGTGAATCGAGAAGGCTTTTTGGGGGTTTTTACTCAGTTGTGGAGTGGAACTGATGGAGTCTCCATCAAGGAGATAGGTGAAACGACATTTTTTTTTGGTCCATTTTGTGAATTAGAGGGATAAATATCGCATGTTGGACATGGAGCCATGGACCTATTGTGACTGTTGTCTTGCTGGCTGAAGTTCGCCATGATGTTGACACCTGTATTGTCCCCATGACCACGGAGGTTTTCTGAGTGCAAATACATGGAATCCTGCCCTTTAATATGAAGGCGACGGTGGCTAGAAAAAATCAAATCTCTTGCAGGGCAAGTTCTAGAGATTGATCAATCTGGGGGAAGGGATTGTATTGGAGATTCTTATGGGTCAGAATAAGGATGGATGTATCGCTACAGCTCATGCGAGGGATATTCGTGGGATTTCCGGAGGAAAAGGCCAGATGGGTGGATTTTCGATACGAATATCTTCTGAAGTATTGTTCTCATTGTGGGTGTTTGGGGCATCCAATGTCGAGCATACATAGTTAGGGATGACACCATGAGAAATATGGAATCATTAAGGGAGGAAAAAAAAAGTGTTTGTAGGTTTGGAGGCTTTGACGAACCTCCGAGGCTAGCCGTTGAAGGCGGGAGGAAGACAACCACAATACAGCGATGACTCTAACGACACCGGTGAGGAGTGTAGTAAGAGTGGTCAAAGGAGGAAAGGTAAAGCAAATGAAGAGGAAAGATGGCGCACTTGGGGAATGGAGGGTTCTGTCAGAAAATAATGCTAGAAACTGCAAGGTGCAGAATTGGAGGACACTTCAACTTCACCTTGTAAATCGGTGTCCAACTCTTCGGGCCTTGCGAAGTGAATACAAAAGTAGTGAGAAAAGGAGGAACACTAGCAGTTGATGCAAGAACAGGCTTGGGAAGCAGGTATACTTAGTCAGAAGGGTAAATGTGAAGGGGTTGATGGCTCCAAGACTATCACATCATGTACTGCCTCTTCTTCTGCTGAGCCATGCACTATTGACGATACAAGGGTGGCACGTAGATTCTTAAAATTTTCTGAGGAGGATTGGAATGCTATCAACATGAATATGGTAATAGAGATGGATGGGGATACGAATATTTAGATTGACAATGACCAACTTGAGTTGCTTACTACAACCATGGGAGAAGAGGTATTGAGAAACTTGACTCAAGACTCTAACCCATTTAACTTGGGGCCAATTATATTGGGCATGTATAACTAGAGCCTTGGGGGCACAAGGAAATAAGGCCTTAAGCGGGGATGAACGAATGGCACATGTAGGGGTGACAAGTGGAGTAGGAGTACAATAAGCATGGGGAGTGGTGAGGATGACGCAACGGTGGGCAAATATAAACAATATACTTGCGACTCTTTAACTCAGGTAGTGGAGACTGGCCTAAACGGGTCTTCACGGGAGCCATGAGGGCCATCTTATAGAACTGTCAGGGTATAGAAGATAACCTAACAATTTCAAGTCTTAAGGAGCAATTTCAACTCTATACTCCTAAGTTGGCAGTGCTTCTTAAGACAAAAAATAAGGGGCATCACTATATTTTTCCCAAAAGACAACTTAGCATGGAATTTATGCATGTGGTGGAACCAAGGGGGTTAAGTGGTGACATTTTCTTCCTTTGGAAGGAGAGTCACAATGTAGTATTGGTCAAGTATTTGAATTTTTTTATTGAAGTGGTGGTTCAAGATATGGAATCTAAGTGCACTTAGAGGTTTTTTTTACTATTTATGCTAGTACTAATGCTCGTATCCGAAGGAATCAATGGTGCATCTTGCAGGAGTGTATTAGTATGTGTAGTGAACCATGCTTACTGATGACGGATTTTAATGATAACCTGGCTATTAAGGAAAAAGATGGAGGGAATGAACTGACAATTAGTAGCCTGCATGATTTTTGATCATTCGTGGTTGTTAGTAATTTGTTGGATTTTGGCTATGTTGGTATCTTTTTACTTGGCAGATCGCAAGGAGAGCAAGTTTATTTAGGAAAGACTAAACATGGGCCTATGTACCGACACATGGATTCATTTTTACCCGAGTGCGAAAGTACTTCACCAACTAGTAGTAGGGTCTGACCATAACATGTTTATTCTACAAACAAACTCGGTGGTACAGTATGGGAAAAAGAAATTTATTTATGATCCTAGATAGGGGAATTGTGCTAAGTGTAGAGAAGTGGTAAAAAAAAGATTGCGTAAATCATTCATACGTTCTAGAGGAGCACAAGTTTTTGAGAAAAGTCGATGGGTGCACCTAGGCCTTATTCAATGGCGATGCAAAAATAGGGCTAATTCATGAACTCAGATAGAAACTCTTACAAAAGAATTACACGAGGACTACTAGTCTTCATCCTTTAATGTGGAACATGTCTGCTAGAAATAGAAAGAGCTTAAATGAGCATTAAAAGATGAAAAGGCTTACTGGAAACTTAAGTCGATGGTACAATGACTTAATGAAGGGTATATGAATACAAAGTTCTTTCATGCCAAGATGGTGGCATGGAGACAACATAATAAATTAAGGGGATTGAAAGACCTAAGTGGATCATGGCACGAAGGTCTTGCTAATATTAAACACACTGCAATATCTTACTTTAAAGAGCTCTTTACTACTAGCCACCCTACATGAATTGCGGAGATAAGAGGGTGTGTTTAAGAGAGGATATCTGCACAAGACAATCTTCTTTGGACACGGCCTCTGGATGCGAATGAGGTGGTTTGGGCAATGAAGCATATTCACCCCATGAAGTCCCCAAGACTAAACGAATTTATAGGTAGTTTTTATCAACATCACTAACATAAGGTTGGATATGATCTTATTGGTACAATTCAGAGTTTCTTTCACTAAGGGAAGCTTATGCAGAAACTCAATCACACTCAATTTGTACTTATCCCGAAAATTGCTAGTCCACGGAATATGACTCAGCGGCATCCTATCTCCCTGTGTAATGTGGCTTACAAGATCATTTCCAAAGTTTTAACGAATCGGTTGAAAATGGTGGTAAACAAGGTTATGCTTTTGTGGCTAACCGACATATCACTGAGAATATCTTGGTAGTGCATGAAATTTTACATTCTATGAAGAGTCAGAAGGGGAAGGAAATATTGAGATAGCTCTCAAGTTAGATATGGTGAAGGCATATGATCGAGTGGAATGGTCTTTTTTAGAAGCAATGATGAAGAGCTTGGGCTTTGCTGATATCTTTTGTCAATGGATAATGGCTTGTGTTTCATCAATATCCTATATTGTCTTCATAAATAGGGAACCCTTTGGATATATTCAGCCTACCAGTGGGGATTTGACAAGGAGACCCACTATCCCCCTTTTTGTTTTTACTTTGCGTTGAAGGTTCTTTAGCATTGATTAAAAAGCATGAAGAGATGCAGACGTTACATGGATTCCAGCTCACCCTCGATGGTATGAGTATCTCTCATATAAACTTTTTGGATGATTCTATTTTATTTTGTAAGGCAAATGAGCAGGAGGCAATACGAATTCGTCAGTTGCTAAAGCAATATGAATTGGGATATGGACAAACTATTAATCTATCAAAGAGTTCTTTATTTTTTTGTAATAACTGCTCGACAGGCATTAAGTGAAGCATGGAGGAAATATTACAAGTAAGGCAAAAGGAAAAAATTGGGAAGTATTTGAGGATAATTGCATATTTTGGTGCATCCAAGAAGAATGTATTTGAAGAAGTATGCAACAAGGTTACAACAAAATTGACAGGTTAAGCAGAACAATATTTATCTATGGTAGAGAAGGAAATTTTGCTCAAAGCCATGGCATTGCCAAATCATGCCTTATCATGCTTAAAGCTACCATTGGGTTTGTGCAACAAGCTTAAAAGAGAGATTGCAAATTATTGGTGGAAAGAAAACGAAGACATTAAAAGGATTTATTGGGTTGCTTGGAAAACAATGAAGAGGCTAAAGAAACATGGAAGCATGGGTTTCCGCGATCTCGTAAATTTTAATCTAGCTATGCTTGCAAAGATAGCTTGCCGGATACTAAAAAACTTAGGTTCACTCTTAGCGCGATTGTTACAGGAAAAATATTTTGAGGGGAAGGTGTTTATGGTGGTATGAGCTATACGTGGTTCATCGTGGGGATGGAAATGAATTTTGCAGGGGCGAAGAGTATTGGAGGTAGAAGTACGTTAGAGAATTAGCACATGAAAGTTAGGGAGGATCCTTGACTGCCGGCACTGTATTCCTAAAAGACACAATCTTAGAACCCGAAGCTGCCATTAATAGTTAAAGGGTTTATTGATCCAATAAAAAAAAAGGTGGTTTAAGGAGTTGGGCAATAAAAGGGCCGGGGAATCGAGCAACACGGAGGCTCACACATCTCTTTGGAATATCTGGAAACTGAATATGTCCCCAAAAACCAAATCCTTCATTCGGCTCGTTTGTAGGGGAGAAGAGGTCATCCGACAAAACTTACGGTAGAAGCATGTTCATAAAGATGATGTATGTGGCTATTGTGGTAATGAAGGGGAACCAATTATGCATTTATTTTTACAGTGTGAGTTTGAGCATGCTTTTTGGTTTGCTAATTCACTCCAATTGGATACAAGAAAGCTTAGGAGTGCTACTTTTGATGGCTACTGGATGAAATTAATCCAAATATATGGTAAAGAAGACCAAGCAAATACTGTTTTGCAAATTATTGCATATGGTCTTTGGAGAATCTAGAAAAGCCGCAATGCGGCAATCTTTGAAGGAAATGTGGTATGTCCAATTGAAGCTACAAAGCTTTGGCAAGCATAAGTCCAAGAGTTTCATGAGTAACAACACAGACATGTGGCACTGACCAATAAACAACCCAGGCCACCTAACCAGGTGCAAACACAATCTCTATCTTGCAAAAACCCAAGTCTGGCTGGATTAAAATTAATTGCGACAGAGCCTGACAGCAATAGACCATTAGCAGTGAAGTTGGATGAGTGGTTCATTCTTCCTTAGGCTTACTACTCATGACATGAGGATTTAGTAACATCCTATGTCAATTTGCTCTCGTGATGGAAGCTGAAACAGTTCTCAAGGCAATGATGGCGGTGATGGATGTAGGGGTTGACAAAGTTATGGTAGAAATTAATGTCAATAGCTTATTAAAATGTTATAGGACAAGGACACACTTGATATTACCTTAGAGGGGTTAATTCATGATATTACGTACTTATGTAGTTCTTTTGGTTTAGTAGAGTTTACTTTTGGGCCGCGACAATGCAATGATGTGGCACACTTGGTTGCATCCTTTGTATCTCGAGTAAGGGGTACTCACCGGTGAGATGAGGTAGGCACTGATTGGCTATTTGATACTTTAGCTAAAGATGTAAACCTTACTATTCGATATCAATAAAATATCTCTTATTGTTTGCCCAAAAATAAAATTGAAAAAAAAATTATAAAAACTTACCGAAGAGTATTCTTCGAGTAAGGCATGAGACAACCTATCTCACTCTTGATTATAGTCTTATTTTTATCCAAATTTTTATTCCTTATGAAAGTTGGGAGAGTATAATCAAACTTTTGAAAACATATTATCCAAGGATCAGCCCCAATATCAAATACTATTACTCATATTCAAAGAAGCCTTCTCTTTGCAATAAAATGGTTTTAGGGGCGTAAAACAACATGGTGACATACATGTGAGGTTAAATTAAAAGATGTATTTGCCTTCTTCTCATATTGCTTAAATTTACACCAACATATCCTTCAATTATAGGTTTAAGTTTAGTCTTTTTGATTGGATGAGGATGTACCATTTCGTGTATTAGATTTGTACGGGGACATACTATTTTACGAATTGAATTTGTACTCATCGCTTTTTGATAATTAGATACCAACAATAGATCGTACCAACTTCATTTGAAACGATAAGGACAAATCTGATATGCAACAAGTCTAAACGAATGTGGTTTTTCTTGATTATTGTCTTGTCCTTATCTAAATTTTTGTTCTTCATAAAAGTTGGGAGAGTATAATCAAACTTCCGAACACATACTATCCAAGTACCAACCCCAATATCAATACACTCACATTCAAAGAAACATGCTGAAGCGGAGATAGAAATTAGTGCATTAATATCAAGAACATTCAACTCTTGTACATATAGCTTTTTAGTAGTTTCTAATTCCTAAGGTTTGATCGGTTGAATTGCAAAAGGAGGCACTATTTTAATAGCGTGTGTAGAATCACCAAAGTTGTGTTTATTTTTTATTTTATTTTTATAAAAAGAGGTTGTTAGTTTCGGTTAAAGGAGAAACAAATATGTATGTTAACATAAAAAAGGATTAAAAATTATACATCACTTTGTATGTGTCCAATTCATGTATATTCAAATTGATAAAAATCAATGTTGACATGCTACTTTTAGAACAGTTTTTTCTGCGTGTTTATAAATGACAAATTATATTTTATTTTATTTGAGATGAAGCGTGAATAATGGAAAGAAGGAAAAATAAGTTGGATACCTTCGAATTGTTTGACTTTGAGGCTTGTAAAAACCGTAATTATTGGTGGTGCCAATTGGTTTAAAGCTCGGAAATCAAACGTTCTTATAGTGTCTCCCCATAGTGTTATTCTAACATCATTTTTTCTGGATGATCAGATGTGAAATAAAAAACATTTTAGTAAGAAGTATAATAGTTTGAAAATTTATAGACATTTTGTTAACACTTATACCTGATATTTTGAAAGTAAACTTCATATTTGCTGTCAAGTCTTCCATTGTCAACCATTTTTTCTTCTAAAGGTTGTATACCAGTAATGTGTCCCAAAACATCTTGCAATTTGACAAAGTAGCATTATAAGTTTATTAAAATGCGTAAAAATTATTGATAAATGCATATTATACATAAATGCATATTTTTTGAGAATATGTAGAGTATCACCTGTGAGGATGTCATTTCTGTCTATTCGAGAGAACATGGTGGTACACATTCCTCCAACAACAAAAAAAACAAAAATCCCTACCCCTCCAGGCATCACTATCACAACTGGATCAGGAGCAGGATCCCCTTTCTCTGGGCGATGAGGAGGAAATTGATAAGTGACGATTGCCCTACCTTTTAAAGGGGGTTTGGAACTCAGGCAAATCAATTTATTTTTTTTTGTAAAAAAAATAGTTGCAAGTAAGATGGGGTCTTCTCATTAGATTTAGGGTGGTTCAAATGGCGAAGATGGGTAAGTCAATATTCCGGCGAAAGATCAAGGAGAGGCGATTGGGGGTGTGGGTGGGGATGGGTTAGCTTAGGGTGGGGTTGGGGGCTGCTAGGGCAGGGGAAGAGGAGCGGGTAAAGAACGAGAGTTTGTTTTTCCTAATTTTTTATTTATTTTTTTGTTATTTCGAAAAAAAAGATTTATAATTTTTTAAAATTATTTTTGGACCCACATGCACATCAGCAGTTAACAGAAAAACTAACGGGAAGTATGAAAGTGATAGGAAATTAAATTTCAAATACGAAAGTGAGACAAAAAAAAGTTCATGTTGCAAAGTGAGTTTGTAAACTTCAAGGTAATAAAGTAAAATTGTACATGGGGTGGCACCACAGTGGAAAAGTGGGCCAAACTCTCCCCTCCCCACAAGTGCACCTGGGTTTGATTCACGCATTAGAGACTGACTTTTCTACTTTTGTAGTATATCTAGTTTTGTACTGCATGAATGGTACTTGTTTAAATTTTTTTGCCAAAGTACAAAGCACTCTTCCATACTTTTGTACTTGTAGTATATCTGGTTTTGTACTGCTGTAAGAAAATTAATTTGGCTTCTGAAAGTTCTTATTCTTATCTCCATGTTTTCTATGCACTCTTATGGTCTGATTATATTTTTGTACAGGTTGTAAGAAAAGTTAAAGTTCGCATTGAATCAATAGAAGATAGATGGGCTTTGAAGCTACTGAATTTTATAGCTGGAGTAAATCAATTATTATCTGAAGGATTGGCGCGTGAGCTGCCATTGTAAGTTAAACCATCTCTTGTCTTTGAGAAAGCAATGGGTTATTATAAAGGTTTATCTTTTTGTTTATAAATTTATCTTTATTGTGAACTTGTGAAAATTAATTAGATAAAGGTGGTTTCTTTAGCATGTGTGTTAATTTGATATTATTGGGTCATCATATCAAGATTGTAGTGCCTTTAAGTTAGTGTACATCTTGTCATGTAGTATGATGGAAATGATCCATAATACACATGATAGATAGATAAAAGATTTAGGAAAATTGTATCGTCTTACCTATATTAAGTTGAGACTTACTCCTTTTAAATATGCTTCATGCTTCTTTCAAATTGATAGCATTTATATATTGGTATGTCGGAGTGGCAGATATGTTCTTGTACTTTAGACTTTAAGTTAAATCTCTCTCTCTCTCTCTCTCTCTCTATATTAGTTTATTGCTGTTGTATGTTGATATTATTGTATGCTGCTGATTTTTATATTGATAAATAATTAGGTACTGATTTTCAAATATTAAAATAAGGATGGACCAATTTGAGCATTTGCCTAGTAATAGTAATGAAGTATGCTCTTCTTCCACATCCGCTTCCGCTTCTGCATCATCACCATCACCTACTATACCAATAACCCAACCTCAAGCCCAAACACCTCCTCAACAAAGTGGTCTTCCACCATACCTCCTTTAGAGACTAGAAAATCATCAAGAGAAAAATCAGAGGTGTGGGATCACTTTGAGAAATATGATGATGTGGTTGAGACCGTGAAGAAGGATGGTAGCAAATCTTTGACAAGTAAAAAGAGAGCTAGCTGCCACGAACCCCAATGTGAATGGGACGTCAAGTTTGAAGAAACATATTGAGTCTATATGTAAGAAATACCCTGGGAGTGTTGGAAAGGATAAAAGGCAAAAGACCTTGTCGTTTAACCAAGCACTTGGTGGTCTTTCTGTGAAGAATTAAGAACAGAGTAAAAGAAAGGTTGGAATTGTATATTTCATTCATACTTGTACAGTGAGAATACCACTGTTTATATACACTTGAAAAGAATAATCTGGAATAGAATTGGTTACAAAGAATATGGAGATGATGACAGGTGTAGGATGGATATATGACTAGTAAGTTCCTTCTCTTCTAGAATATTGCTGAGCTAGAGATTGTATGCATTGGATTTGCTGTGTATTTGCACCTATGATTGTGTACTCTGTTTATCATCCCCCCGCAAGCTCATAGTGGGTAACCCAGTGATGAGCTTGTCGCTGAGAGTGCGAAAACGATCAATTGAAAGGCCTTTGGTAAGGATGTCGGCTAGTTGAGAGTGCGAAGGAACATGAAGAATGGAAATGGCCTTGGCGATGACCAAATCTCGAATGAAGTGATAGTCCACTTCAATGTGTTTCATTCGAGCGTGGAAAATAGGATTGGCAGCAAGAGCAATGGCGCTAATATTGTCACAAAAGAGCAATGGTGGGGAGGGCAAAGAGATGTGCAATTCTCTCAAAAGTGTGCATAGCCAGAGAACTTCAGCAGTGGTTGTGGCTAGGGCTCTATATTCGGCTTCTGTCGAAGAACGAGCAACTGTTTGCTGCTTTTTGGAGGACCAAGATATTAGATTATTGCCAAGAAAGATGCAAAACCCAGTTGTTGAGCGACGATTGTCAGGACAACCTGCCCAGTCGGCATCACAATAAGCTGTGAGTTGAGAAGAACCTTTGCTGAGATGAATGCCATAAGTGGGGGTGGATTTGAGATAACGAAGAATTCTTTTGACGGCTGTGAGGTGAAATGTAGTAGGAGCATGAAGGTATTGGCAAACTTGGTTGACAGCATAAGTGATGTCTGGCCGAGTCCATGTCAAGTATTGGAGGGCACCTACAATGGATTGGTAAGTGGTGGGATCAGACAATAGAGAACCTGTTTGGGAGTCTAATTTGGAGATGGTGGCTGGAGATGGGGATGGTTTGGCATCAATCATGTCAGTCTTTTTGAGGAGATCAACAGTGTATTTTGTTTGGCTAAGAAAAAGCCCTGACAAATCACGGTGCACTTCTAAGCCCAAGAAGTAGTGGAGGGGTCCCAAATCCTTGATTGCAAATTGTTGATGGAGTTGGGAAATAAGAGAGGTGCAGTAGTTGGAGTCACTGCCAGTGATGACAATGTCATCAACATAAACAAGTAGAAAAGTGGCAGAGGTATCGATTTTGATAAACAAAGATGTATCGGCAGTGGATGTCTTGAAGCCCAAGGAGAGAAGAGCATCTTGTAGTTCCTCATACCAAGCACGAGGAGCCTGTTTAAGGCCATACAAGGAACGATGCAACTGACAACATAGTGGGGATAGGAAGGATCTGCAAAACCTGGAGGCTGCATCATAAACACCTGTTCTTGAAGATGCCCATGGAGAAATGCATTGGACACATCAAGTTGGGAGATTGGCCAATTGTTCTGGACAGCCAAGAACAGTAGGATCCGAATGGTTGTCGGCTTGGCAACGGGGCTGAAGGTTTCAGAATAGTCAATGCCCTCAAGTTGGTTAAATCCCTTGGCGACAAGCCGAGCTTTATAGCGCTCAATGGATCCATCAGCATGCTGTTTGATCCGGAAGACCCATTTACAACCAACGAGGTTGTGAGCATTACTAGGAGGGACAAGGGACCACGTTTTTGTTTTACGAAGAGCAGCAATTTCATCTTGCATGGCCTGTAGCCATTTGGGGTCTTGGGCTGCCTGTTTGTATGTAGAAGGGATTTTGGGAGAGGAGGAAGTGGTAAGGTAAGCCTGCGGAAATGGATGACGGGTGAGAAAGGTTTTTGGCTTGGTGAGACCGGATTTGGATCGAGTTTGCATGGGATGTATGTTGGAAGGAGGGGGCGGAGGAGCGGGAATAGGTGGAGGTGAGGGTGGGATTGGGGCTGAGGTTGAGGATGTTGGAGACCGAGGTGGGGAATGAGGTTGGGTAGATGCAGAGCAAGGGGGTTGGGGAGTTAAAGAAGTAGATTGGGGAGGAGGAATGGGAAGATATGGAGATGAGGGAGGAGGGGTAGAAGCCTGGGAAGCTGCAGGGGAAGGGCGTGGCTCAGTGAAGGGAAAATGATGTTCGTCAAATACCACATGACGAGAAACATATACACGGCCAGAACTCTGATCAAGGCATCGATAGCCTTTTTGATGGACACCATAGCCAATGAAGATGCAGGGTTTGTTGCGAAATTCGAGCTTGTGAGAGGAATACGGACGGAGCCAGGGATAGCAAGCACAGCCATACGCTTTGAGAAATTGGTAGTCAGGAGTACAGTTGAACAATTTCTGCAATGGACTTGTTTTTTGCAAGGAAAGTGAAGGCAATCGATTGATTAGATATACGGATGTCTGAGCAATCTCAACCCAATATTTGATTGGCAGATGAGACTGCGCAAATAGGGTGCGAGTAAGCTCAATTATATGTCGGTGTTTACGTTCAGACATGCCGTTTTGTTCAGGGGTATGAGGGCATGTAAGTTGCTGAATGATGCCATGAGATGCTAGAAATTGTCGAAAGTGTGTGCTAGTGAACTCACCACCGTTATCACATCGGACTGTCTTAATTTTCATATTAAATTGATTTTCAACCAGAGACTTAAACTGCTGAAAGACCGTAAAGACATTAGTTTTAGTGTGAAGGGGATAAAGCCAAGTAAATCTTGAGAAATCATCTATGAAAATGATGTAAAATCGATATCCAGATACAGAGGGAACAGGGGAAGGCCCCCAAACATCGGTGTGTATTAATTCTAAAGGAGAGGAAGTAGTGGTGCTAGATGTGCTAAAAGGTAACTTGGAACTTCTGCCTAATTGACAGTCTTGAAAAATAGATGGATGAGCTGAAGAGCGGTGGAGAGGAAGACGATAGTAAGAGATGATGTGTTGAACGGTGACGGAGGAGGGGTGGCCCAGACTCTTGTGCCACAGGGAAGAGGAAGCCTTGGTACTGAGAAGAGCAGCAGGTGGAGACTTGGGAAAAATTGAGAGGTTGATAAGATATAGATGGCCATCAGTGGGGCCACGATAGAGAAGGCGTCCCGAGGCTAGATCCTTCACAAGACATTCAAAAGGAGTGAACATTAGTATGCAGTGGTTATCACAAACAAAGCGATGCACAGATAACAGATTTTGAGTAATGCGAGGGACATGTAAAATATTGTTCAATTTAAAAGAGGAAGAAGAAGCAGAGGCTGTGGAGGAACCAGTATTGGCAATCGGTAAACCTTCACCACTGCCAACGAGGACTTTGTCATTGCCTTGATATGGGAGTTGGTGAGAGAGATTGTGAAGGTCAGGAGTGACATGGTTGGTTGCACCAGTATCTGCATACCAGAGGGAGCTGGAGGGGGGAGGAGAGTGGGTAGCAGTCATGGCAGTAAAGCGAGCAGGAGGGGAGCGGCCTTGATAGGCGAAGTTGGAGCGATGGCGACATTCGATGGCGGTGTGGTTGGGTTTGTTGCAAATTTGACATCTGATTTTAGGGGTTTGACGGAAGCGATTGTGGGATGAGTGGGAAAAGGTATTGGGCTGAGAGAGGTAGGGTGGAGTAGATGGGGTGGGTAGGAGAGGTGGGTTGGACGTGTATTTGGGAGGATTTGGGCGGGGAGAAGGGCGGGAAGAGGTGGGCCTTAAATGAACAGAGGTATGAAAGGCCTGAAAAGGGGCAGATGAGTTAGAAATGGGATTTAGGGTGTCACGTTGTAGAATTTCAATCTCTTCACTAATCAGGAGACCATGAAGAGCATCAGGGTCGATGGGGTCAGAGCGGACTCTGATCGAAGTACCAAAAGAGTCATACTCAGGTGGGAGGCCACGAAGAATGTGAGCAATAAGGTCAAGATCGGCAAGGGGAGCCCCGGCGGCGGCTAGACCGTCGGCAAGAGCCTTGATTTTTTCAAGATAGAGCATCATCAGGTCAGATCCCTTTTTCGGGGTTTGGAGCTGACCCTTAAGCTGAAGGATATGGGAGCGAGTGATGGCAGAGAAGCGTTTCTCGAGGTTGTCCCAGAGAGATTTGGCGGAGGAGCAACCTACTGTATAAGGGAGAATAGACTCAGAGATGGCAGCATGGAGCCAAATTTTGCAGGTACGATCTCGGGCAACCCATGTAGGATAAGCGGGATTAGATTCAATGGTAGAAAGAAATTGGGGTGGGCATTGGTCAGAACCATCAATAAGGTCATAGAGGTCAGCATTCTGCAGAATGGGAGTGAAGAGGGATTTCCAGAGAAGATAGTTATCTCTGTTGAGTTTGACAGGGATGAGAGTGGCGATGTGGTGGGAGGGAATGGCAGAAGCCGAAAAAGGAGAAAGAGAGGAAGAGGAGGAAGAAGAGGAAGGAGGAGGTAGAGAGTCAGAGGAGGCCATAGGATAGTACCGTAGGGTTTTAGGCGGCTGATACCATGTGAAGAATTAAGAACAGAGTAAAAGAAAGGTTGAAATTGTATATTTCATTCATACTTGTACAGTGAGAATACCACTGTTTATATACACTTGAAAAGAATAATCTGGAATAGAATTGGTTACAAAGAATATGGAGATGATGACACGTGTAGGATGGATATATGACTAGTAAGTTCCTTCTCTTCTAGAATATTGCTGAGCTGGAGATTGTATGCATTGGATTTGCTGTGTATTTGCACCTATGATTGTGTACTCTGTTTATCACTTTCAACAACCGGACATACTAAAGAAGATTGGTTAAGGTCTTGTGTAGAAATGGTAATGATGGATGAGTTGCCTATTAGCGTGGTTGAAGGTAAATGGTTTAAGAGATTTTGTGAATCATTGAACCCTCATTTCCAAGTGCCATCTCATAGGACACTTGTAAAACATTTTATGGTTATGTATGAAGAGATGAAACAAAAGTTGAAAGAAGAATTAGCATCACATGAGTGTGCCTTACAATGGACACTTAGACAAGTGTTCAAAACGTAAATTATATGGTGATCACAGCACACTTTATAGACGGTGAATGGATTTTGCATAAAAGAATTTTGAACTTTTGTGTCATTGCTAACCACAAGGAAAACTCAATTGGTAAACTCCTCGAGACTTGTTTGCTTCATTGGGATTTGAAGAAGATACTCACAATCAAGGTCGATAATGCTTCTTCAAACACGAAGGCAATAAATTACTTGAAGTCAAAGATGGGTCATTGGAAGAATGGTAGTCTTGTATTGGAAGGAAAGTATATGCATGTGAGGTGTTGTGCTCACATTGTCAATTTGATTGTTCGAGATGGCTTGAAAAAACTAGAGAAAAGCATATTGGCAATAAGGAATGCGGTTAGGTATGTAAGATCCTTTCCACAAAGGTTAGAGGAATTTAAAACATGTGTTTTGAAGGAGCGAATTGAATGCAAAAGGCTTGTAGTGTTGGATGTTCCAACTAGGTGGAATTCAAAATATTTGATGTTGGATGCTGCTTTGAAGTTTGAAAAAGCCTTTGTAAGAATGTGAGAAGATGATGATGCATTTGCGTCTTGATTTGGTGAAGATGAACTGGTTAGGGAAGATGTGGGGATGGTTGCATCTCATAGGCCTAAAAAGAGGGTAAGGCCACCAACTAAGGAAGATTGGAGCAATGCACTTACCTTTGTCAAATTTTTAAAGGTATTTTATGATATGACATTGAAGATGAGTGTTTCTTTGCATCCGGCTTCTCACACCACCTTTCATAATTTGATTGCAATTGAGGGTGAAATTGGTAATTTGTTCTTTGGAGAGCAATTACCAAGTGAAACTCACACCTCCACGGTTTTGAAAGATATGGCATGTAGCATGAAGGTGAAATTTGAAAAGTACTAGGATGACCTTGATAGAGTGAACCAACTTTTGATGGTAGCACTTGTTCTTGATCCTCGATACAAATTGGGGAATTTTGAGTTTGTATTAAAGAGGAGGTTTGAAAACCCACAAGATGCTACTAAGAAGAAAAATGAAGTGAAAGAGCTTTTAATGAAGCTTTATAAGGAGTATACTATCCCACCACCTCCTACTCAATGCACTAGTGCTAATGGTGATACTAGTTTTACTAGTAGTATTACTATAACAAGTTCTAGCAAAAAAGGAGGAGGAAAGCACCTTCGGGAAATGGAAGAAGGTTGGATAAAAGAATATCAAGCAAGTAACACCGTGATATTGGAGCATGAAGTTGATAGGTACTTAACCGACCCAATTGAAAAAATGGTTCCCAACTTCGATATTTTGAAGTGGTGGAAATTGAATGGGGTTAAATATTCGAGTTTGTCACTTATTGCAAAGGATGTGCTTGCTATTCCCGTATCAACAGTGGCTTCGGAATCATGCTTTAGCGTGAGTGGTTGAGTGATTAATTCATTCCGTGCTTCTTTAACTCATAAGATTGTGGTGGCCTTAATTTGTTCTCAAAATTTGTTAAGGTCCAACGGCATCTCCGTTATACAATATGAGCCAACCATTCAAGAAATGGAGTTTTATGAATCCATTGAGTCAGGTATTTATTTTTAGTTTTATGTGATTTAATGATGTATACTATTACTATATATATAGTTTGCATGTTTGCCTAATGTTTTAATGTGTTTACGTTTTTATTTGTAGATCTTGCAATTTTACCAGCACCTACCAACTCAAGTTCTTCTACGTTCGAGTGATCATTTAATATGTGAAGCCTTCTTTGGTATTATGTTTTAATTTTTGACTTATATTTTGAACTTCTAATTTGGTTTGTAATTTAATTATCAATTTTTATTTCAGGTTGTATAATTTTTAAGATTGTACGTTTGGATTGGATAACCATGTTTTGTATGTTTGGATTGGATGGCCACATTTTGTATTTGGAAGTTAAAATGCATATGCTTGGCATGTATAAATTATTTAAGTTGAGGCCAAATTTGTACAGGAATCTGAAACATGGCCGATCTTATATGCTTCTGAAGCCCAACACAATATATATATTTTTTTAAATTAAAAAAAACCCATCCCAAATCGTAAAATTGGACCGGGCCAGCCAATTCGGTTTGATCCAATTTTTTCATTGTTTTTACTAAAAATCGAACCGAACTAGACCGGATGAACGATGCCAATTTCAATTCTGATTCGAGCTCTGCATCGGACCGAACCGGATTGTGCCCACCTCTACAAATGACCAAAAAAAGGTAGTAAAGTAAAATTATCCTATAAAAAATAAATTTAAAAAAAATAAAAAAACAAAAAAACTACATCCACAATACAAATGTTGCAAAACGTCTGGGACCCTTTGTTCTTACACTATATCCTAGTCACCAATTCACCAACGATCCAAGACGTCCACGAATGGATGCTTTGTCAGCCGTCGTTCTCTTCCCATAGTCCAAATTTTGGTACAGCCCAAAGTCCCAACTTCTCATACTCACGGAGGAACACTGAACAAACAAGCATAACTCGGTTTTCCAGATCTCCCTCACTTCCTCCTAGTAGCAGACTCACAATGAATCACGCTCTTACCATCATTTTCACCACTCTAAGTACCCACCCAACCCAACATCTCTTTTTTATCTGCTCCGTTCTGTTTGGTTACCGGGAAAATGTAGAAAAATGATAAGAGAATTGAAATAAGTTGTTTTGATCATAGTGTCTGGCTTATGAACATAGGCCTAGTACAACTATTTTTCTTACTTGGGTTTCCATTATTTGATCATATAACCCATTAAACGGATGATTAAGTTCTCAAACTAGTGACGGAGCTTCTCAATCTTCAACCTTTTTCAGGCTTGCTCAAAATGGCAGTAGCTGAAGAGGAATTTTGCTCTGCTCCTTCAATAGTTGACTCGGGTTCGAACTCAAAGCATTTGTATTGGAAGGTCACCAATCCCACACTTTCTCCTTCTCATCTTCAAGGTCAGTATATAGAAATCTGTATTTTGCTTGCAAGTTGCAATTATATGTGAAGGTGGATTTTGTTGGTGATTATTAGTTTGTAGATTAATCAGAAGCCTGGAGCTGGGTTGGTTTATCTTTAATCCCATAACATGTGTTGGTTGCTGCGGAGAGAGGAAAAGAAAAAAAAGTCAAATTTTGGCCAAAATTTTGCTTATAAAAAAATGTTGAAAGTAAGAAATAGTTCATGGGATGCTTTGAGACTGTGAAATTGCATGTTTGGTTTAAGTAGCAATCAGAGGGAGCTAAAAATGAGACTTGTTAAACTTCATTCTGTGTTACGTTTTCTATTTTGTTTCTTAATATTATTTACAACCAAAATGCAGCTAAGGGAAATTTAAGTATTAGCTGAGGTTTATTTGGGTTCTTTCTTTTCAGACTTGCCAGGATTCACTCGTAGTGTTTACAAACGAGACCATGCTTTAATAACACCGGAAAGTCACGTCTTTAGTCCTTTACCTGAGTGGTACTTTCTACTCTGCATTATGACAAAAGTTCCTCTTCACTGCTGCAGTAATACAGATTGCTCTTCGTTATGATATATTGTTAGAATGGTTCTTCTTCACTGTTACAGGACCATGACATTGGGAGCCTATTTGATAACACCGGCTATGGGCTCACACTTTGTAATGTACCTTGCGAAGATGCAAGGTTGGATTCACTGTGCGATGGTTGTCTCATTCATATTACTACATGGATGGAATTTGTTAATTGACGTTTATTTTCTCCAATGTGCAGAAAACTCACTATCTGGACTCCCTCCATATGATGCTGAAAGGTGTGGGCATCTTCTTTTTCTCATTTTTTATTTTTGCTATAGGATACTTAAGTATAAGATTTCAGGATTTACTTCATAACTTTATTACTCTCTTATTATTTCCTACTAGCTAGGTTCATATTTGTGGTTCAGGGTGCTGTCACTCTCACAAATGTCTCTGGTGTTAGCCACAAATTAACGGTAAGAAAGCTCGATATATTTTCATCATGAGATTGCTAGTTTTGGTGGATATTAAATTTGAATGACTCATTATTAATTTAGTACATTTGTCCTTTATTTTTCTTTTCATATATAAATCATGTTTGGGTCACCTATTTTTGCACATAATCGTATTTATTGTCATTTTTTAAAGTTACACATATTATCCATTTATAACATGTATATATATTTCCCATCTATCCTATTTCTTAATGTGCTTTTATAATATGTTGTGTTTCAACTATCCTGTGTACATTCTGTTTAACTCACCCACTAGGGGTTGTCTAATAACATTCCTTTAAAGAGATCAGAGAAGTGAGGATCCATGTGAAAAGAAAACTTTGGACGCTGATTGGTAGCAACAAGCATGAAGAGAAAGGTTAAAGGGTATGAAAGAGAGAATGAACAGAATGGAAAATGAGAGGGGAGAAAAGAGAGGATGGAGGAGAGAAGCTTTATAGAAATTGATCCAAACTTGATATATGAACATCTTAACACCACTTAATTTCTACACTTGATTAATTGATTTTTGGCATTAGGATTTATAAGTACAATGAAGGCAGCTAGAAGTCTGATATATTATTGAATTGTGTGAAAGAGAACATAAAAGTGTGTCATTATTTATCAACTTCTGCAACACCAATTACTAGTACTAGTAGGAATGTATTACATTGTTTTTATAGACAATATGAATGCTACAAGTATGCATTTATTGCACCAACCAAGGACTCTAGATATCTGATAGAACGCTGCTTTGCTTCTAGTGCTTTTCGTAATGATGTTCCAAGTATTTTTTCCTTTGTGGTAGAATAATGACATATCTAATTATCTGTGAGGTGGTGGTGCTCGGGCGAATTTTCATTAAAGGTGAAAAGAAGTCTGATTTCGTTCATATATGAAACACAGGTGGATTCATATGCTTATCTGCCTCCTAATGTTGATCATTCCCTCAAGTGTGATGGATCTGCCACTCTTGTGGTATTCGAAAGAAGGTTTGTCTCCCCATGCATTATGATTGCTTGATGAACACATAGTACACTCATAATCAACCTTACATGGCACTAATGCTATTTCAAAAATTCAAATGGAGTGAAAAACTTCATCTGTCCTAGACAGTTTTCTTGATAATGAAACACTACTGAAACCAATAATATTTTTCTTAGGAGGTCACGATTTTACTCATCTCATTACCATTTCCTCACTTTCCAATTAACCATTATAGTACTCTTCAAGTGGCTAAAGTGCTCTTTGATGCTTCCGTATAGGCATGCTTCTCTGGAAAACCAACCTACTGAGCAGATTGTAGGTTCAACAGACCAGCAGCCACTCTTGGAAACTCCAGGGGAGGTAAGTACTGGATTTTTCTGTAGGTTTGTTTTGATTTTGTATATCATTGCAATTTAAAATAAATTCAGAAAGAACCACCTATGGAATTACGTTGTGGATGTCTAGAATTCAATCCTTGAAACATATTAGTGAGGAAATCTCTCCACCAGATATAATTTTCTTCTTCTTGCGAATTAGATTATTTATGTTTTTGAGAATTAAGTAATGCTTAACTGTACCTTGTTGATACACACTGACATTTAATATATATTCTTATTGTTTAACTTTAGTTGGGTCTGGTGATGATGATATATTTAAGACTTCATAGCCTTGTCTTTCACTAATTTTTTTACCCATTATTAGGTCTTTCAATTAAGGAAGCTTATTCCAACATCTATACCCTATGACTTCAATATCCATGTAAGTCATCATTTACTTATCTGTGTCCAATCTTTGTACCCTCTCTAATAGTTTTCAGCATTTTTGGGACCTTGCCTGCAGATTATGGATTTCCAGCCTGGGGAATATCTTAATGTGAAGGTATTAGTCTCTTCCTTGCTGGTTAAGTTTATTGTTTTGTGTTCCATGATTGACATTCAGAAAATTTATTTTGGAATTTAAATTTTGTTTCTTTTGGATTGGAATTAATTTAAGTTGAGGTATGCTGATCCTCTTGACTTTGGTTTTGGTCACTCCTGGAAAGAAACATAAAAGTTATTGAAGCTTAATGCCATACTCATTTTGCCTTTTCTGGTGCTGGCTTTCTTTATTTTTTCTTTAAAAAAAAGTAATACTTCTTTCTCTTTATAACTATTGTTGAGTAACTGACTTGAAATTATCTGTTAAGGCTATCCTCAATATCCAAAGAGTTCTTTGCGATGACATATTTCTACCGCCCATTACTACTGGAATGTTTAGCTAATAAGCATGATATCTATTTTGTTGCTTGCCTCAACCAATCAAGAGAAGCACTGGAATCAACAATTGCCCACTAATGATTGAACCTACAATCACTTAGTGAGGAAGCCCTGAAGTTTTTGAAAAGAAACATTCAATTGACTTGTGAATCACTATTTAGTTTGTGAAAAGCTTTGTTTAAAACTTGTTGAAATTTGTTGTACTTGTAATATTTGTTTGGGTCTCCAGCTTGAAAAGACTTTCCTGTCAAACATTGTAGGAGGTCCATTACAATCAGCATGGTTTGCTGCTTCTGGAGGGACAGGGTATTTATCGCTTAGGTGATAGCTGGTAAGCGTTCCATTCACTGTTGATACTGCATGAGATTTTACTTTCATTACTTGCTCGGCAATTTTATAAGGTATGGTTATAATATTTATCATTTCATATGCTAGATGTGCATTAGAGTTTGTTACCATGCTTGCAAATGCAAATGGAATCATCAACGAAACTAAGAAAGTGAAAATCATCACAGAA